TTATCCCTTCTCTATATAAAAGCTTACATCTGCTAACCCCAACTTCCCACTCCCTCCCTCCCTCTCTCCCTTCCCCCTTGGCAACTGCCAGTCTGTTGAGAAGCTTTACATGTTGTCCTAAGACACTCAGGGTTATCCGAAGTGTCCTGGGGCTCCACTGAATGGTTTTATGGAAGAGAGTGACATGGTCAGATGTTATGTTGGATGGACAACTCTGGCAACACTGCTGAGAATGAATTTCATGGGTGACCCTCTGAGGCAGGGAGGCAAGGCAAGAGGTGATGAGGACCTCAACCAGGCTGTGTTACCAGGGAAGGAGAGGACACATTCGGGAGGCGTTTTGGAGGTGAAATTGATAGGACTGAATGATAGAGAGAGTAGGGGAAGGACATCCAGGTTTCTGGCTTCAGAAAGTGGCTCCATGGGGTATGTGGGGTGCTGTGGTCACACTCAGGCATTGCCTGAAGTAGTGTCCATTCTGCCTCAGGCTGGCCTCAGCTGCCCCGTGTCCTCTTTGTTAACACTACATAAATCAAGCCTTTATTTCTTGCCTAGATCCTTGAAGAATCCTCTTAATCTTTTCCAATCCATCCTACACATTGCTGCCAAAGTAACCTTCCAGGGACAGCCAAATGAGAATCTTCAGTGGTTTCCCATTGCATAGTGAATAATCTCTAAGTTCTGTAGCCTGACTACCAATATTTGTCGCTGGGGGCAGGGGACATGGAGACATGCTCCTTATTCTTAAAGAGTAATTTTCCAGAGAAGGTGAGGCATGTTACATGTGACATAGTTAAATGTCAAATGGTCTTTGGAAGGGGGAAGAAGGCAGAAGGCAGAATGTCTCCCAGAGATGACCCAAGGTGACCCTGGTCTTTTCCCATCATGTTTTTCCAGGTGTATCTTCCATTCTCTCCTACACCTGTGTTCCCTGGTCTGTCCATACTGGTCTCATAGTTGCCTGGAATGACTCCCCTTTCCCACCCCTGTGTCTTTCCCGACTCCATCGCCTCTGCCTGGAATATATTTCCCCACATATCTGCCCATTGAAATCCTACCCATCTGTCAATATCCAGCCCCAGTGCAAGGGCTCTATTGAGTCCCTTACCCAGATGGGACCCTCCAGAAGCACTTCACCTTTCTAAGAGCACTTGGTACATTTTACTGTGTACAGAACTTACCATGCCTTATATTTTATTGCTCCCACTAGACTGGGAGCAGAGAAGGAAAACTGGAAGGCTTAGGTGTCAGTCCAGCCTGCAGATGTGTTTTGTTAGTTTGAACTCTTTTTTTTTTAAATCAAAATCAATGTCTTAAAAAAATTATAGCCTATACCAAACATACAGAAAAGTACAGAATATAATATCATGTGTACTTGGGACCTATCACCAAGAATGAACAGATTGCCTCAGATACCTTGCCACCCATTTTTTAAGAAATAAACTATTACACATGCAATCTGAGTGCTAGCCCACACCATCCCATTCCTGGAGCTGGTTTTCACACTTTTTAAAATTTAGAATTAGTTGACAGTATTTAGAAATCAAAAGATTTCACATAAAAATTAGGAAGCTTTGCTTTCCTCAAAGAGTCAGAAGATCTGGTAACTTGGGGTATATTCCCACATGAGTCAGCAGGGACTCTGCAGCTGCCATCTCCCTGACGCGAAGTATGTGCTCTCCAGCACACCACACTCCCCACCACTCCCTAAAGCCTCTTAGCTTAGGCCGCCTCACTTATACATGGCGCCTGGCTCCTGCAGGCATGTGCGTTTGCCATCTTCATGTAAAATCTTTGAAGTCAAAAAGCTTTTTTATTACTGGAACTGAGCCACTAACTCGCTGGATGACCTTGAGCAGGTTATGGACCTCTCTGTGCCTCCATTTGCTCATATGTCAGACTAGGATAAGAAGCGTACCTAGTTTTGAGTGTGGATTGAGCATTATTATATAAAGTATTTAGAGCAATACCTGGCTCATAATTCTGCTGCTAAAATTCCACAGTCTTTTATCCAAAACCCTTGGGGCTAGATGTCTTTTGGAATTCAGATTTCTTTTGGATTTTAATAAGGTAATAAGTGTATATATCATATATTACAGTCCATTCCGGCAGGATCCAGGTTAGCACCTTGGAATTAAACACACTGAAATTTCTGCAGGAGAAAAAGCAAGAATACACGTGAAGTGTGATACAGACTTAAACTGCTTCATCCATTTTGGGGTGGGTCAGGCTGCCTAGAAGCATTCAGGTCCTCAGGGAGAAGGCAGGTCCCAATCCCAGAGCTCCCAGATTTTGTCTCTTTCTTGGATATTTGGGTTTTCTTATGAGAGGAGAAATCGTGAGGTTGGTTTCTGTCATTGGTCTCGATCTGTTTGTTAATAAAGTAACTGAGAATTTTGTAGTCACCCCGGGGTTTCTACCACAGCTGGCTCTGTCTGGCCTTCCTCCCGCTGCTGCTTCAGGCCCCCTGCCACTTTTCTGCGGGTCCTTCCCCAGGCCAGCCACCCAGCTGCGAGCTCCACCTCGGCCCTCTGAGGCCTGCTTCCTCAAGTCCGTTGAAGTCTAAGCTAAGTCTGGCAGCCTCAGCTGCCTAATCTCCCCTGGGCAAACCCTTCTCACCTGGCAGGCCTGCCCCGTCTCTTCCCTCCTCTGTCCTCCCCTGTCCCGGCTTCACACTACTCCCTCACCCCCCCACCCCCACCCCCGACCACCTCACTCTCCTACCCAAGGCCCATCCCTCCTCCAAGGCCGAGCTGAGGTCCCACCTGCTCCTTGAGGTTTTTCCCAGTAACTTCAGCTCAGCTCCTTTTTCCAGAGTCAGTATACACAGTCCTTAACCTAGTGGCTGAGCACTGGCCTGCGCTTTCCTTCACTCATTCACCTGTACTCTCAGCAGTCCCCCAGGTGTGTGTGGCGGGGTGGGGGTGGGGGGGTGCGGGGGCGGGGGCTTCCTTCTTCCCTCCGGGCCTCTGCTGCCCCCGTGCGGTGCTTCCCTGCATTGCACCTCGGGCCGCTGTGCACGAGCTCGGACCGCCCCGCGCGGTCCATCCTGAGCCCGGTGCCAGTAAGGATGGGGCTTCGGTGGCCAAAAGCTTCCCAGGTCTTTATGCTTATTCAGCTGAGACCAACAGCCGGCCAGATCCCCTCTCCTCTTTCTCCGCTCACACCAACCCCCGCTTGCCCTCTGGTGACAATGCCACTTCCCTTCCCTGGGAGAACAGCCCTGGCGGGTTTATAGCTGTGGGATTTCCCTGGGCTAAAAAACGGACGGAGGGGACTTTGTCCCAGACTCCACCAGCCTCCTTTCCTTCCTTCCCTGTCGGTATAAACATGCGGGTGTGCACCCCTTACCGGGTTGGCGGATGGTGCCTTTCGTGTTCTGTGAGCTGGAGGAAGGCAGGACGGGAGTGTTTCTTCTGTCCCCTTGTCTCACCCCCTGCGGCCGCTCCACCCTGATCCCTGGGTGCCAGATCCTCTGTCTCTTGGGGTTTTGACGGTGATGGAAACCTGTTCGTTTGGGCCAGAGTGTTTTTCCCCTTTCTCCTTAAGAGTGAATGCCTACACTAGCTCCTCTGTGGCAATCAAATTCAACCGAATCCACAGTCCGCCAATTCCCTGGGGAGCAAAGAGGCCATCTGGGTGCTGGTCGCGACTCTTGTTGTGTCCGTGGTTCATAAAGATAGGCAACACCCTGGTCTAGAAGGAGAGAGCTCCCCACTCCTGGCACTGAGCCCCACGCCACCCCCTCACCTGCTTCAGGTCACGTGGTCCTTGTTGGCCTGGCAGTGTTTCTTTTGACTGTGGGTCCTCCAGTCACTTAACGAATGTGTCCTCATTTAAGTCCCCAAACGTGTCTCGATTGGCCTCCCTTCCTTAGGGGCATTGAGAAGGGTGAGAAGGCCAGTGATTAGGGGAAGATGGAGGGAGGGGAAAGAGGCTAAGAAGGTGAGGGAAGAGAGCAAGCAGTGTGAAGGAGAGTTTGCATCTGTCCCCTTGACTTTCCTAGGAAGCCGTGGTGCGGCTTCACTGTGTGATTTGAAAGGTTGGAATATAGGCTTATGAGTTGCCAGAGTCACCAACACACATATATCCAAGTGTTTTCTAGGGACCTTCAAGGACACTGGCATTGGCAGTGGAGGCTGGCTGCACCTCTGCTTCTCCCTCTCCTCCCAGCTGATAAGGGTATGAAAACCTCCCAGATTCCCCCAAGGGGCTGTCCTCGGTCCTAGGGTGTCTCCTGCACAGGACCAGGCAAGAAATAGGTGACCCAAGGGAGCTAGGCTCTCCCAAGGATCAGTACCCCATGTCCAGTGCTCTGCTGCACCCCCGACAAACCATCCACCACCCCGTCCCCGTTTTGCTGTAGATTTGGAGCAGTTCAGGCTACACAATTCAGCGGACGGATAAGGGCTTTCAAGTCAGTCCATCTGGATTAAACGTCCCGGTCTCATAGCAGTTAGTGTGACTGTGAACGAGTTTCCTTATTCATCAAAAGGAATAGTCATCCCTACCTCGTAGGTTTCTGGTGAGGGTTAAATAAGTGATATATGTCAGTCATCTAATACATGCCTGAAACGTAGTAAGTGCTTAGTCAATCCTAGGTTCCCCCTCCCGACACTTCTGCCCACCCCAGTCCCGAGCTACTTTTCTAAATAGGAGATGGTGATTGGGCGGGGTGGGGAATAAAAAGGCATGCAATCACGTAAAGCACAACTTCCTCCAGATTAGTCATTAAAACGTTTATTACGTTCATTGAGCTGTGTGAAGGAATATGAACTTTTAAAAGAAAAGAAAGGCTTTTGCATTTAACAAAGGAAATGGAACTAACAGGCAAAACTCTAAGTTAAAAGAAGCCCAAATAGCTCAGAATCGGCAACTGAGACGGTGACACCAGCAGCTGCAGCAAATCACCTTGTCTGGCCGCGTCCCCTGGAGGGAGGGTCGGGCAGAAAGCTTCCCGTTGGGCCAGTGACAGGGAAAGGTTTCTGGTGGAGGGAGGAAGACAGTAACATGATCATCTTATAAAAGGGAAGCAGGAGGACCCGGGCTTGTGTCCGTGTTGTTTGCCGTATGAAGCCGGAAGGGGAGAGCGTGACAGACATCTCCTAACTATACCCACATCCACATCGTTGTCACCCCCCAGATCAGTGAGTCTTTGTTTTCAGGGTCTCCTTGTGCTGTTTCACCAGGGAGCCGACCCACTCCTTGGTTTTCTGCTTGGCTTCCTCCCAGGTGAAGAGGGGCTCATACCCCAGCTCTCGCTGAGCTTTCTTATAGGAGAAGGTGAACACACTATTTGACAGGGTTACCAGGTGGCAGTTGAAGGGGGGTCGATATTTGTAAATTGGACTGAGCAAGAAGCTCACTATCTCCAGCAGGAAGGCAAGCCAATACTTCAGAGAAACCGGGAGGCTCATCCCGGAATCCAGGCAGAGGCCCCATTCTTTGCCCAAAGTGTAATTGAGGTCATCATAGCTTTGGTGAGGTGTCCCGTCTGAGATGTAGTAGAACTGTCCTTGGATGCTTGGGGCCTTTTGGGGGTCCCGCAGGGCCCTCAAGGCCAGAATGTGGGCCCAGGCCACGTTGCCAACATAGACTGGGTTGACTCTGGAGAACTTGCAGTGATTTGACAGGATTCCATTGTTCTTCAGGGCACTGTCCACGTGGGCAAAAAGTAATGGGCTCCCCTCCCCATAGATGTACATGGGCCTTAAGGCACAAGTGTACAAGGTGCCGCCATTTTTAAGAGCCCACCCATTAGCTCCCAGCACAGCCTTCTCGGCAAGCTTTTTGCTGTATGGGTATGGAGAGGACCATGCTGTTTCAAGATGCTCTTCTTCGTGGCCGTCCTGGATGATCTCCCTGTAGGAGTTGGGCCCAGCCACCTCTATGGTGCTGGTATGGATGAAGACTGGTACACTAGCCTGGACACAGGTCTCCAAGAGGAGCTGGGTACCTGCCCACGGGGAGCACACCGTCAGTGTCGGGAAATAGTCCAGAGCCAGCCATGCCATGGACCATGTCTGCCCCTAACCCTCAAGGAAGGTGGCTATTGCACATGAGGAGTGCATCCTTGTGTGTTTCTGGCTGAGATCAGATTATGCTAAAGCCACAGGACGAAAGCAGAAATGAAAAGAGGCCAAGATTTGGATTCTGGAGAGCCAGCACTTCTAGGCTTTTGGATTTCATGGACCAGTATACGTACTTCTAATTTCAGAAAAGGACAACGAGTTGCCACTTTATATTTTGCGGAGTAAAGAGATTTTAAAATGATCATTTATCATCTCTACCACCTCATTAAAGATAGGGTATTTTAACTTAAAAAATTAGGAGGCCATACTCTTAGAATAAGGACAGCTCTGGTCCTTAGGCAAAAGAGGACAGCTGAAGGATTCACATCACACACACACACACACACACACACACACACAGAGTTGTATATAGGTAATATATACTCTTAAGTACACATTGAATTGTTCGTATTTTTCTCCTTTTTTTCTTTGAAGACCAATAAAAACTTGTCACAAGGACTTTCTTTTGAGTCATTGAGCAAATGATTGGTGGGTTCTGGGGAGAAGCTGGAGATCCAGACTCTGTTTCTGATTGTGTGTTTCCTACAAAGGTCACTGCTAATTGTGGCTGTGGCTTGTTAGCCCAGGTATGAAAAGTCGGGGTGGCAAAGCTTCCTTGTGCTTAGCTTTCTGGAGCTAGCACTGGCCTTGTGTGTCGAGCCAGAGGACGAAGCAGAAAGGAGTGCACCCTCTGCTGGTAATATCTATCATGGGAGGATCTTGCAGAATCCCTTTATCTGGGTAGAATTTTAGCTCATGGAGGTCACCCAGAGCGCCTCCCTTACAAGAAGGAAGCAATTTCCTGGGCAAAGCATCATTTTTGGGTGGTATTTTAAAAAATCCTTTTTAAGGTCTTTGTGCAATTTGCTTTTCAGGAGAGACAGCCTCCTTTTTAAAAAATTAAATCTAGAAGCAGAGAAAATTCGGAGCTAATTTACCTGCAGAGGGAGAAATGGCCATGATTGTGAAGTATTTTCTAAACCTGTCAGTGATGCTAGTTTTAGTCAATGGAGGCCTCTAACACTTCTCAGGGATTTCAAATCCCCTGTTGTTGGGAGCCGTGGAGAGTAGAAATTATGAGAGGGGGGCCGAAAACTCAAGACTGGTTAATCTTAGCACCCTCCTGGCAATATGGGGGTGACCGGGGGTGTGGCTAAGTTGAAACTAGAAATGGTCTTTTTTGAAACAGTGCAATTTTAGGCTGGAGATGCAAAAACAATGAGTTGCTTTAGAAAAGGAGTGTCTGAGTAGACTAACTCTGGCGGGCAGGGCGTGGAAGGCAGATGTTCTGGGGTGCTGTGGTCCTAGAGAGATTGGCCTCCAGGGGTCAGAGGGAGGATACTACACAGCAAGCTAATAAGGGATTTAAGCTAATCCCTTGAGTGACTGTGTCTAGATTTAAAGTAAATTGGAAAGCCACAGTTCAGAAAGAGCCACCAAGCACTTATGGGATGAGGATCTAAAGATGGTGTACTTTGGGCACCTGGCTAGGAGCTACTCTTCAATAATAGATCTGGTAGTGAGCTGAAGAGATGGTATTATGGATAATGGGAAATTATTCTTGTTAAGAAAATATTACAGGAAGACAAGTGCTGGCTAATTCTGTACTGCCAGACCACTGTGAACCAGCTTTGCTAGTTCTCTTATGAGGAATCCTTCTGGGGGGTGGCATTCTCTTTACCCTTATTATCCTTCCTTTGCAGAAGTCCTGCCCGAAGGAAACCAGCCCAGAGCTGTGGCCCGTCACCCCTAACTGACTTGGGGGTACCTCATACCACAGAGCTCTTAGTTCTTGGCTGTATGGTGACCCTCAACTTAGAGCCACACAGAAAAGCTAGCATGATGACCAAGGAAGCATCTGGTTCCAGCCCAGTGGAGACAGGAGGTGGTTGGATAGCAAGAGTTTGAGGTTGGAGCTGAGTCAACACTTGATTGGACCAGCAGAAGGGTTTTCCTGGCCTTTGGACTCACACAGGCGTGGGTTTAAATTCTAGCCCTTTCACTCCTCCCCAGAGGGCCTTGGACAAGTCCCTTAGCCTCTCATCCCTAGTTTCCTCATCAGAAATACGGAGGATGATGGCCTTGAATCTCTGTTGGTGGTGATGAGGAAAAATACTTGGTGCCCACCCAGCAGGTGTCTACCAGCCTCCTCTTCACTTATCCCAGCTTCTGACTCTCACTTGCCCACTTCCCTTCAGCTCCTCCCCAGGATCCTGTACCTCTCACATTGACATTCATGATGGTCTCTCGCTGAACGGCGTTCATGACATCGATGACAGAGGCGGTGTGGATGACCACCGAGGCACCCTGGCAGGCTTCCTTCAGGCACTGCTCATCCAGGATGTCTCCTTCCAGCAAGGTCAGCCTGATCTTGCTCTGGAGCTCTGTGTGAACAGAAGTCAGGTCACTGGAAGGCTTTCTGGATCTGGAAGATTCCTGATGACCCAGGTCTTTAAGGACAGGTAGATTGGGGGGAGTGAGGAGTGGGGAGGGGTGAACATCCCACGGAAGGACCAATTAAACAAGGGCACAGAAATTAGAATGTGTAGCATTTCTTGGGAAACAGCAAACATCTCTTTCCGTCCCATCTCATTCTAAAAAAGAGAGTTTGAGCAGTGAGGGGTCAAGAGTGCCTGGAACACAAAATTGTTAAAGAGACTCATGGGGAGTTTATAAAATTCATTAAGGAGAGAATTTGCATTTAATTCGGTAGGGAATGGGGAATCCGGTATAGGTTTGGAATTAAAGGAGAAATGTAAACAGAGTTGTGCTGTAGGAAGCGAACCCTGGCTGCAGTATTATAACGTGGATCAGTCTAGTGGATATAAGAGAAAGCAAGGTGATTGAGGGATTAATTACACCATCTGAACCACAGTTCACATGGGGAAGACTGGAACCGGGGAACCAGGAGTGGGAGACTAGAAGGGGAGAGGTACAAAAGGTTCAACTTTCAGACCTTACCTTGCCAGGTCCTGGTTCTTACTGGTGATGGGCTGGGAGGAAGAGTCAAAGGCAGCCTGAGTTTTTCCCACTTGAGTGATCAGAAGGATAGTGGCGCTTATTAACAGGAATTTAGGGTGGGCCCGAAGGATGGATTTAACTGAAAGAGCTCTTATTAGATATCATCAAAAGCAGATATCAATGCTGAAAATGAGCCAGCCACCGAGGGACTAACATTCCGGCCATCTAGCCAAGGGCTGCAGAGACAACATCAGGGTCTCTGGCTCCTCTGAAGCCCACGGGAAGTGGAGCTACCGTGCACTACTGGTAACATCATCACCTCAGATGAGCCCATGACATAAACGCCACGCTACATACAGTTTGGATAAATACCCCGCACTTATTTTGTGCTTTTTATTTTGCACACGACCTTCAGCTTTCTGATTTCCTTTCACAGCTGTCTCAATGAGATAGGGATTCTGATTTCCACTTTACAGGCGAGGAAACCGAGGCTCAGAGAGGGTGAGGAAACGTCCAAGTCACACTTCTAATGAAGACTCTAGCCTGCCCCCCCCCCCCCCCCCCCCCCCCCCCCACCCCGCCCCGGCTTCAAGCCTCGCTTGCAGGACGTCAATTTAAATGAAATTGGCAATGGACGGCAGAGAAGAGTGAGAGAGAAACTCAGAGTGAAAAGTTCAGGGCTGCAGAATTTCCTCCTGGGGTTACAACTTGGAAGAACCTTAAGCCTGCTCTCCTTAAGCCTCTGCAAAATTAGCTCCGCCCCAATGCTTCCACTCCAAAAAGGCCACGAAGTGAGAGAAAGGCAGAGGAATTAGCCGCAGAGTGGAATTTTCTGATTGTGTCCGCACGTCTGCCCTGCCCCTCCCTTACTCTGCCTCTCTTTCAAGGCTAACTTCAGCAGAGTGGCTCAAAGGAATTGCTATGCCCTGAAGCCCAAGGCCAAGGGAGGAAAGACCTCTTACCCATTAGTATGCAGGGCCGCAGAGAGAACAGCAGAGGGCGCTGTGTATGCCTCGGCGGTGGAGCCCTGGCTTCCTCCTCCAAGGCTCTGTGGGACTTGGCCAGTGTTTTGCATAGACTGAATATGCAGTCGCTTACGTGGTGCGAACTGGATTGGAGGGAGGCCCAGAGAGAAGCTACTAGACAAACTAGTGGTTAAGAGCACAGACGCTGCAGCCAGACCGCCTGGGTTCAAATCCAGCTTTGCCATTTTCCAGGTGGGGGACCTTGAACGAGTTAATGAACCTCTGCAACGTCTGCATATTTGTGTCCCCTCAAATCCATTTGTTGAAATCCTAATGCCAATGTGATGGTGTTAGGAGTTGGGGGGATCTCTGGGTGGTGATTAGGTCATGAGGGTAGAGCCCTCACAAATGGGATTAGTGTTCATATAGAAGAGACCCCAGAGACATCCCTCGCCCCTTCCACCATGTGAGAAGGTGTAGGCTATGAACCCCGGAAGAGAGCTCTCACCAGGACTTGACCCTGCCTTGATTTTGGACTTCCAGACTCCAGAACTGTGAGCAGTACATCTCTGATTATAAGCTACCCAGCCTGTGGTATTTTGTTGCAGCAGCCTGAATGGACTGGATTCTTCTGTGCTTGTATTCTCATCTTTAAAGAAAGGAGGACACTGTTACCCATCCCAGAGGATTGTGATGAGGAACAAATGAGTTGACACATGTAAAACACTTAGCGCAGTGCCTGGCACAGAAAGAACACCGTGAGCGGTCTCTGTTATTATCCTGACAGAGGCCCCTGCCCCACCCATGACAGCGCCTGACTTATTCACATTGGGGAGATGTTCCTCTTAGGTTGATCATCGCCCTCTCTGGGCATAAGTTGTCAGACTGCCAATATTGCTGAGATGTAGGGATTACAAAGGGTTGATGTTGATCAGTTGTGAATTAAAAAAAAAAAATCAGAGACGCTGTTGAAGCAGAGGATAGAGGAAATAGGATGTTTGCAGAGGTCAGGGGAGAGGAAAGGAGAACAGAGCGATGGGCAGGGTCCAGGAGAGCGGGCTGGGGAGGGGGGGCTTTGTGTGGGGAGAGGGGTCCTCTGGGCAGCCAGGGCCTGCATGTAGACGGCCAGTCCACTGGGGCTGGGGAGGAGGACAGAGAATTGGTTTGGGGGCGCATAAGGGGGAAATGGCAGAAACTGAGGATTCACTTTGCCAAGAGTCAGCCTTAGGGCCATGTGATTGGAGTTCTAGTCTAAGCTCTGCTACCCATTAATCCGGGTAGCAAGTCACTTTACCTTTGTGGACCTCAATTTCCTCATTGTCCGGATGGGTGTTACCCCTCTCCTACCTTCCTCACAGGGTTATTTTGAGGATCTGGGGGGCGAAACAGGTTGGAAAATACACTATAAATCAAGCTTTTGCATTGGCACCATGGGCAGCAATCTGGAAAGAGAGACGTGAGGTGCTACAGCAGATCCTGCAGTCACTTCCTTGTGGTGATGAGGAGAGAGGCGAATGATAAAAAGAGATGTACAGGGAATCCACGCGAGGTGTGTCCGCGCTCATGCTGCCTGTTGTTCTGTTTCTGGCTTCCTTGCTGCAGGCCTGTGCATGCTCTGCACTCCCCTCTCTCCTGCTCCGTCTCGAATTCTCTCTCTCTCTCTCACACACACACACACACACACTCGCTTCACCTTCTCTTCCTTCTATTTCACCTTCACTGGAGTTGCTCAGTGAAGCCACAGAAAGACCAGAGCAATCAAGGGGCAGGGACCCGCTGTGGGGTCTCCAGGTTAATGGCACTTGCTCGCCCTTTGCAGATGGTATATAGCAAGTGACAAGTCAAAAATCATCAGAACATTGAAGACTTGTTGACAAGGGAGAAAACTGAAACATGACTTTCTGGATGAGAAGAACAGAGGCTGAAGTGGCTGGTCTACAGCCACCCTCTCTAATCCTGGGTCAGGACCAGAATCATCTCCTGACACCATCTGTGATTACACCGTGGTATTACCCCATCTGTAATCCCCTTTCTGATAACATGGGATTAGCCTTGATTTGACTACAACTTTCCTTAAATTGCTAGACAAGAACCCCCTCCCCACACCTACGCAGGGTTTAAAATGGAGCTACACACCCACGACTCAAGTTCACTTACTAGAAAATTCCTCCCGAACCTCTGGTCTGAAGACTTTGTCCAGCACCCGGATCTCCTGCAGCTCCTTCTCCTCTACCAACAAGTGGACGATCCTCTGACCCAGAAACCCTCCTCCTCCTGTCACAAGGCAGCTCCACCCTGCCATGGCCAAACCTGGGCACCGAGAAACACTTGCCAGGAACCAGAAAACCCTGGAGAGCAGTTTGGATGAGAGGTTGACACAGGAGAGAGCCTAAAAGAAATGTCAAGTGATTACCTGCTCATAAAAACCCACTGTTCCTTCTACTCCATTTTTGCAAAAATCCCATGCACCCCCTCCCAGGAGTAGCTGAAAGAAAATGAAAAAGCTCTAACCTGTTAGATTGTTGCAAGCCAGATGAGAGAGCGGGGTTCTGGTCTCCTTATCTCCCAAAGACAGGACTGGAGGGACCTTTATGTGCTGTTGCCTCTGACTCAGCCCACTTCACCTTGAACTCTTACTCCATACTCATTGCTCACCCCTGGTCACTTCATCAAAAAGTGGTGAACTTTTAACTTGTATCTCTCATTCCTCCAAAGCACAAGAAGAGAAAGCAAGCTTCAAGGCCACAAGAAGAGAAAGCAAGCTTCAAGGCCACAGTGTGATAAAGATTCTCGGTTCTACCCTCAACAGGACTCGTGGAGGTCAGTGTCCACTGTCTGGGATCCACAGTCTGTAAAGTTAAGCCTGACCGGGAGAAATCTCCCAGCACAGTGTGAATTGCTGCCTTGTGCAGTAAATACATCTGGGCGGGGCAGGGCGGGGCGGGGCGGTGGAGGGTGCCTTCACTATGGAAGGCAATTTTCTTTCCCACCCAATATATCTGGAGCCTCAATTTCGACTTCCCCCTGGAGAGCTCTGGGTTTCTGGAGGAAGAGCACCATTGAAGGGAAGCTATCTGGTGATAACCACCTAGTTCTAGGACCTGTACAACGAGAGTAGGTGTATGGCTGTTAGCTTAACTAACACCATCTTGGTCCCTTACAGTTTTTCCTGTCCTTTCACTGACCCTACTCAGAACTGTGCAGTGAATTACTTCTCTGTCCTCAAGGGCTTTGTAATAGATATTAATAGATTTTGTTTAATAACTATTAGAGCCAGGTGGCCTCTATGCTCTGTTAGTCCCCAGACAATGATGAAAACCTTTGCTGATGTATTCTCGGTGCCCATGAGACTAGTTACCCCTTCATAAATATTAATGTAGGAATGCACGTCCTGCTTCCAAGCGCTGACCCTCATGCCCTAGGTTAGTTATAAAGTTGTCCTGATGGCCCTCAGCAGTGCAGCTGTGAATGCCTCTGGATCATTGTTTACCAAACCCTACTCTGTAAGTTACAATCTAATAAACCGATCCATTGATTACATGGAGCTGCCTGCCTCATTTTTCCTTTTCAAGATGTCTTCTCAGTTGGATGGGCACTTTTTCTTCCCTCTGTCCTCCAACAGTAGAGATCTGTAGCTGTGGGCCACCGTAGCTTTTATTAGGAATGTTTGCACTCACCCCAGATTTTGGCTGCAAAACCACTCTCAGTAGATTCTTGAACTGAAGATGCCCGTATGCTTCAGAAGCCTGTGCCCAGAGATGCCCAGATACCACCGCCATAAGCTTCGCAAGATACTGTCAAAAAATTGAGGTGTAATTTACGTGTGTTAAAATATCTACATCTTAAGTGTTAGTTCAATGAACCGTTACAATTATGTACACCGATGTAATAAACCACCCAAAACAAAATATACAACATTTTCCTCCCTGCAGAAAACTCTTTCCTACCCCTTTCCAGTCAATTCCCATCCTTCCAATCTACCCCAGAAACGACACTCTGATATTTAGTGGATAGATACTCTCCTAATTTTTCTTCTAAATTTATGGTTCTGGGTATGTATTTAAATATAGAATCCATTTAAAATTAACTTTTGTACACTGAATACAGAAAAATTCACTATTGTATTCCTTTACTGTCTATCCATTTGCTTTCATCAGTTTTTTTTTGTTTTAATTATTTGCTTGCTTATATTTACTCTGGGTTTAATTTACACTTCTTTTTCAAGTTTCTTATGGTCAAAGATTGGATACTTGATTTCTTCTTTTTGACAATGTGCATTTGCATTTAGAGCTGCAAATTTCCCTCTAAGCATTGTGTTAGCTGCATCCAACAGTTTTGATGTATTAGAATTTTGTCATCATTCAGGTAAAAATATTTTTCTAACTTACCTGTGATTTCTTCTTTGATGTGTGCGTTACTCAGAGCATGTTGTTTAATTTCTAAAATTGGGGATTTTTTAGGTATCTTGTTGTTATCAATTTCTAATATAATACTATTGTGGCCAGAGCATATACTCTGTTTGACTTTGATTTTTAGATATTTATTGAAACTTGTTTCGTGGTCCGGCAAAAATGGTCTATCTTGGTGAAATGCTGCATGCTCTTGAAAAGAATTTTTCACGTTTCCATCAGTTGTTGGGAGTAATGCTTTACAAAGAGCGGGTTTGACCCCCTACTCCAGGTCTCTTCCTCTCCCCATGTTATAGACATTCTCCTCTTCCCACTAGGGACCTGACTCCCAATGCCTCAAACACACTTGCTTAGGAAAGGTTGACCCTAGTCACTAAGTTATAGCATCTTGTTCCCTGAAGCTATCAGCACTAACTAAAGGCCCTTGTCTTGCTGAGACCCGTAGAGCCTATCTGAGGCCACTAAAGTGCATCATACAGCTTTGCCTGCTCTAGCAATGCTGTAAGTGAACCATATACATCCCCTGTCCTCTTCGAGGCTGGCGTTTGTACTCATTCCCCCAGCTGCTGGGAATGCTGGAGGCTGGTAGATTTCAGCTAGTATCTCTCTGGGAATTGCCTTCAGCCAAAGAGCCAACAGAACAAGAGTTCAGCGCCTCTGAGTGGAACCAATAAACTCTACAGACAGTGAGAAATAAAATAAAGGGGAAGGCAGATGGGGACCACAACATCACCTTTCTTTTATTTCCAAACATCTTTACTGAGATACAATTTACATGCCATAAAATTAACTTGTTTTAAGCATACAATTCAACTATTTTAAGTAAAATTATGGACTTGTATAACCATCACCATTGTCCTATTTTGGAACATTTCTATCTCCCCCAAAAGATCTCTTGCGCCCATTAGCAGCCACTCCTCATTCCCACTCCCCAGCTCTGGGCAACTTTTATTTATTTTATTTATTTTTATTTTTTATTTTTTTTGCGGTACGCGGGCCTCTCACTGTTGTGGCCTCTCCCGTTGCGGAGCACAGGCTCCGGACACGCAGGCTCAGGGACCATGGCTCACGGGCCCAGCCGCTCCGCGGCATGTGGGATCTTCCCGGGCCGGGGCACGAACCCGCATCCCCTGCATCGGCAGGCAGACTCTCAACCACTGTGCCACCAGGGAAGCCCTCCAGCTTTCTTTTGATTTCCATTTGCATGGAATATCTTTTTCCATCCCCTCACTTTCCGTCTGTATGTGTCCCTAGGTCTGAAGTGAGTCTCTTGTAGACAGCGATATGCTTCTTGTTTTTGTAACCATTCAGCCAGTCTATGTCTTTTTGTTGGAGCATTTAATCCTTCTACATTTAAGGTAATTATTGATATGTATGTTCCTATTACCATTTTCTTAATTGTTATGGGTTTGTTTTTGTAGGTCCTTTCCTTCTCTTGTGTTTCCCACTTAGAGAAGTTCCTTTAGCATTTGTTGTAGACCTGGTTTGGTGGTGCTGAATTCTGCTTTTGCTTGTCTGTAAAGCTTTTGATTTCTCCGTTGAATCTGAATGAGATCCTTGCTGGGTAGAGTAATCTTGGTTGTAGTTTCTTCCCTTTCATCACCTTAAATATATCGTGCCACTCCCTTCTGGCTTGTGGAGTTTCTGCTGAGAAATCAGCTGTTAACCTTATGGGAGTTCCCTTGTATGTTATTTGTCCTTTTTCCCTTATTGCTTTCAATAATTTTTCTTTGTCTTTAATTTTTGTCAATTTGATTACTATGTGTCTCGGAGTGTTTCTCCTTGGGTTTATCCTGCCTTGGACTCTCTGTGCTTCCTGGACTTGGGTGGCTATTTCCTTTCCCATGTTAGGGAACTTTTCGACTATTATCTCTTCAAATATTTTCTCAGGTCCTCTCTCTCTCTCTCTCCTCCTTCTGGGACCCCTATAATGCGAATGTTGTTGTGTATAATGTTGTCCCAGAGGTCTCTTAGGCTGTCTTCATTTCTTTTCATTCTTTTTCTTTTCTCTTTCTTTTCTTTCTTTCTTTATTCATTATTTTTTTCTTTATTATTTTCATTCTTGTTTATTTTCTTTATTCTTTATCCACGACAGTGAATGCCACCATTCTGTCTTCCAGGTCACTTATCTGTTCTTCTGTCTCAATTATTCTGCTATTGATTCCTTCTAGTGTATTTTTCATTTCAGTTATTGTATTGTTCGTCTCTGTTTGTTTGTGCTTTAATTCTTCTAGGTCTTTGTTAAACATTTCTTGCATCTTCTCAATCTTTGCCTCCATTCTTTTTCCGAGGTCCTGGATCATCTTAACTATCATTATTCTGAATTCTTTTTCTGGAAGGTTGCCTATCTCCACTTTATTTAGTTGTTTTTCTGGGGTTTTATCTTGTTCCTTCATGTGGTACAAAGTCCTCTGCCTTTTCATTTTGTCTCTCTTTCTGTGAACGTCTCTCTCCTTTCTTAGGATGTCAATCATCCTTCTCTTTTAAGTGGTTGCCCTAGAGTTTGCAATATACATTTACAATGAATCCAGGTTCACTTTCAAATAACACTATACCACTTCACGGGTAGTGTGAGTATCTTATAATAACAAAATATCCCTAGTTCCTCCCTCCTATCTCTTTTATCATTGTTGTCATTCATTTCACTTATATATAGGCATATACATAAAATATACATATATAATTGTTACTTTATTATTTTGAACAGGATCTTATCTGTTAGATCAACTGAGAATAAGAAAAATAAGAGTTTTTAACTTCACATATTCCTTCTCTAATGCTCTTTCTTTGTGTAGATCTAAGTTTCTGACCTATACAATTTTCTCTTTCTCTGAGGAGCTTTTTTCAACATTTCTTGCAGCGTAGGGTTACTGGTAACAAATGCTCTCAATTT